CCTCCCTTCCTTCCTTCCTTCCTTCCTTCCTTCCTTCCTTCCTTTAGCATCAAAGGCTGCTTGATATGTTGGAAGAAGAGCGGAAAATCTTAGAAGAAAAAACCCAAGAATGCATGTTGCAACAATCACAGGAATACAAGGTACGTGTCCCAATGGTGGGTTCCGGATCCTGTCGCAACTGGTATGCTGTGACAGGGCCGGGCATCCACCACATGCATATGCGCTGCGCATGCATGCGTACCACCACCCTGCGATGCTCCAGCTGCTCAGCAGAATGTCACGCAGGCGCCGTACACTGCATGCATGTGCGCAAATGGCCCAGTTGGGTCAAATACAGGTAAGGAGGGTGGGCGGGTGGATGGGCCCTCTAAAGCACCGTAGCGGGACGGTACCTGGTGCTCCCAGCAAGAACTGGTACGCCCATACCGGGGCGTATCGGCCATAACCCATCACTGACATGTCCATATAGAAGGGCTGCAGCTCTTACACCGCTTCAAAAAAGAAATGCCGTTGAGAACTAGGAAGAGTCTTTCAGAGGTTAAACCATATTTTCTTTCACAAGGATGCAACATCTAAACAGAAGGCCCTGAGGAGTGAAGAAGGTTCAAGGACAAAAATAGATTTCCTTAGATTGGGTTTATCTAAGACAGAGGTGGGGAAGCTATGGCCCTTGTAGGACCTGTGGACTTCAACTCCCAGAATTCCTGAGCCAGCGTTCTGGGAGTTGAAGTCCATGAATCTGGCTCAGGAATTCTGGGAGTTGAAGTCCATGGGTCTGGCTCAGGAATTCTGGGAGTTGAAGTCCACAGGTCCTGAAAGGGACATAGTTCCATCCTGAGGTAAGAGAGGAAATAGACATGCCGAGTTGCAACAGTTAATATGGTGCAATTTATTTCCACCATTAAGACATTTTTGCACCTTTATATTTCATTCCCTTTTCCTTCCTTTTGGTTTTCTTTTTAAGAGCAGAGGTTGTATATCCATCCCTGCAGGATAGCCTCACTTCATCAATCAAGATTTACTTAAATCATCCTTAAGTGATATCAATTAGTTTTAGGCTGCTTTCTAGGGCGAAGGACCTCCCAAAAAATACCTTATAAATATATAATTGGGGTTAAAAAGTGAATAAACATTACAGCAAACATATCTATTGTGGTCTCCCCTCATTTCTGGTGGCCCTTAAAATAATACTCTGTGGCAGGACAGCTGGGTTTAGTATTCATCCATGTAAAATTCTGAAATAGAATCCAGAATATTTCCTAGAGGGACATTTTCTAGTTCTGGCTTGTCAAAGGAAGGGAACAAACTCCATTTTCCTACTCTGATTCATCCCTAAACTACAAACGGGCTCCATGTCTCTCACTTCAGCTGGCTTCAGATTTGAGCATCATCGATAACCAGCTCCAAATTCTGTTCTAGTAGCTGGTTTGCCAGCTGTGGCCTTTCCAGATAGCAAAATCTGGAAGGAATGGAAGCGCCGTCTGAAGAAGGCTTGGACATTCTAGAAAGAAAAAGCGAACTAAAATTCCTTCAGAAGACGAAAGGTTTTGCGAGAGAAACGAGGCGATGGACCAAACGGGTGTCGCGACGCCAGGCCTGCCTCTTGTGTGGTTGTGTTGTTGCGCCACGTGATGCTACGAGGCTCTTTTCATCATTCTGACAAAACCTCTGGCTTCCTGGGAACACCCAGGGTTCGGAAGGGATTTTTATAGGCTGTAATGCTTTTTCTACTCTGCTTTGTTTCCAGGAAATGTTGGAGAAATGCATGGAGAAGGAAAGGGAACGCAATAAGGAGGCATTGGCCACAGCGGCAAAGGTATCTTAGTATGCAAATATTCTTCCTTTGGAAGGGTGGGTTTCAAAAATTGTTCAAACCTACTCTGTGGGTGTGGCCTCCTTTGTGGGAGTGGCTTGCCACCCATGTGACCGGATGGGAGTGGCTTGCTGCCCATGTGACCGGATATGAAG